GTGGTTTCTCTGAAGGAGAGAAAGAAGTGATACAGAGGGATGAAGATGGTGTTAACAGGAAGCTATGGCAAAGCAAATATGTACAGTGGTTTTAGGGTGTCATAGACTCACAATGTATTTTTTATAAAGGAGAGGAGGGAAGTAAGAAGAAGGAAAAGAGGAGAAAGAAGGAGAATGATAATGAAGAAGGAGGATGAGGAGGAGACAGCAAGGGGAGAGAAAGGAGGAAAAAGAGAAGAACAAGTGACATTATGTTAGGCCTGGAGGTGCATTCCTATAGTCTCAGCTTTCTGGGAAGTTGAAGCAGAAGGATTGTCTCCAGATTGGGCAATTTAGCAAGAACTTGTCTCATACACTAGAAAAGATCTAATAATGCAACTTGGTGTGAGGGCCCTGAGTTGAATAACTAGTATGCCCATCTCCCCAAATGCACACTGCTAGGTGAAGTATAAATCACTGCAAATTACATCTCAGACTAAAATGATCAAACTCTTGAGAAATGAACATTTCTCAACTGTGTATGGCTCATCATTCATTTCTACATTATATTGTTTCCCTTTGTTTGCACATAGGTCCTTTACTAGAATCTGGATGGGATAAGAAAAAGAAACATAGTTTTAAACTAAGAATTTATATTTCTGTGCCATTTATAGTAAGTGGTTGCAGACATGATATCTTGTCCAAACACTATTAGTACAAATCTTTCTTCTACAAAGACAACAATATGCAATGTATCAATTGTTGAAGCTGTCCTACTAATCAGTTTTGAAGCTGTCTCATTGCTGTTTGTTTCTCAATAAAATTAGTAAAAAAAGAAGTAGTATTTTTACATAATGCATTATTACTCAGCTATAAAGAAAGATAAACCTAAGGCTTTTATAGGTAAATGGATGCAACTACAGGTTATACTCATAAGTGAAATAAATCAGACCCACATGTGTAAACATCACATTGTCTCCCTAGTGCAGGAACCTGAAAGAATAAATAAAATCTGAAAGGTACAATAGATATAGTAAAAGAGAAAGAAACCGAACGTAAGTAAGAAGCAATTGTGATGAGGGAAAGGAAAAAATATAGGAAAAAAAATGAAGGGGGAAATAAATCATGTATGTATTCACCCAGCATAGCTCAGATGAATATACTACTAATTTCTATCAGATTTTTGAAGGTAGCAGTTCATGCTTAAAATTTTTTATTTTGACCAATCTTATATGCTTAGATCTATAATCTGAGCAACTGCATTGAAGACCTCAGTGTGAAAATGACAACCACTTTTGAATATTTATCCTCTTGGTTTTTAATAATTTTTTTTATGTATTTGGTACAAAAGAAAACTACGGAGGATCTTGGACTCCTAGTGATCCTCCTGTTTTCAGCCTCCCCAGCGCTGGGATTACAGGCATGGGCCACCACACCCAGTCTTGGTGGCTGGCTCAGTGAGCCCAGTCCCTGCGCCTGCCTAAGCAGGAGCTTAGTCCACTGAGTTATCTCACCAACCCTTTTTTAAAAAATTGTGTATTGTTTCTAATGTCTTTCCTTTTACTTTTGCATTCTCTTCAAAATAAATTTTTAAAAATAAAATATATAAAATACAAAAATGTATAGTAAATAGTATCATCCTTCCAACCCTTGTCATCCCCAGGTCTTCTCAGCAAGCGTGTTAGGAATTTCCTGGGCATTCTTTTGTGGTGGTCACATAAAATCCTTCTCTTCTGAGCACACAGACACATTTTTAATGTTTGTTTGCCGACTCCTGGTTCTACCCAAACTTTAGAAACAGAGGCAAATCTCGGTCTTCTCATGCCATGCTTCAGTTTCTCTGTGGTGCCCTGGTACCCATCCGAACAACTACCTTGTCAATACTCTGAAGTAAAGGAGACAGGAAGTGGTAGGGAGGGAGTAGAAGAGGGCACGGCAAGGCAGCACATCTGCAGCACGGTTTCTTCTGCTCCAGCCAGTATTTGTCACCTCCCTCAGGCTGGCATTCTTCAAAATCACAGGAATGCTGACACTGAACAAGCTCTGGTTTTAATCATCTAAATCTCACTCAAACCTGCCTCACTGGTCAAGCCTTAACCAGCGAGTGAGTGCCCAGAGCACCTCCCCTGCAACTATATTAGAGCATTTCAGGTGTGCCTACTTGTGACAATTGTTTTTGAAAGACAGATTTTAAAGTTATCCTTCCCTCAGCATAATATGAACTTCTAGCAAGCTTTTTAAGTCATTGTCCTCACTGAAGTTGGAGAACCACTAAAAGCTCTCAGATCTTTGGGACTGGAGATGGAAACAATTAGATAGAAATAGTTACAAAAAATCATGTTGGAAGTGTCTCCATCTTTGAAAAAATATATTCAGATTCATGTTTCATGAATATACCAGAGAGATATTTAGGTATATTTAGGAAAGAAGAAATATGTTCTGGGGACACTAATTAATATGATATTACAGCTGGCTGGCACTTATACCTATAGGTCCTACATTCTCAGGTTCAACTAACAGCACATCAAAAATATGCACAAATGTCAAACTTGAGTCAGTAAGTGAACAAGTCCAGACTTTTTTCTTGGTATCATTCCCTGAATGAGACAGTAAATTAATTGCATATCATTTACAGAATATTAGGATTATAAGCAATGTAAAGTTGATTTAAAGTGTGTGAGATGCACCGGCCCTGCCCCCTGTCCTGCTGAGTGGGCCACCGAGACCAGGAATGGTGGTACACACCTTTAATCTCAACACTGGGGAGGCTGAAAAGAGAAGGATCACGATGAGTCCAAAGCAGGTGCTTTAACCTGTGCCAAATACTTTAAGTAAACAAACAAACAAACAAACAAACAAATAAATAAAGTGTCTGGGAAAGTTGATTTAAAGTGCATAGGTCTTGGCAAACACTAGGCTATGCCGTGCAAGGAACTTGAACATACATACATTTGGATGCCACAGGAGTCCTGAAACCAATCTCCCCAGATACTGGAGGACACTTACATTTTTCCTCATATGCTTTTGGTTTTCAGTGTTGGGATGAGAATTCAAGGCCTCCTATATGCTAGGCAAGCGCTCTACCCTTGAATTAAGTATCAAGCCCTTTCAAAACATATTTAAGAAAGCTAGAATTTGTTTGTTTTTTAAAAAATGTATTTGGTACAGGGTCTCAGAAAGCTAGAATAGTTTGAAGAATATATGTGACTATTAAAATATTTTCAGCTTAAACTAAGAAATATGTTTTGAAATCATCTTGAGAAAAATAAAAATGTAAGACAATGTGTCATCAAATGACACATACTTCTTTTTTTTTCATGTATGTAGTAGAGCGTCTACAGGATTTCACTACGTAGACCAGACTCATAGTGATCTTCCTGTTTTCAACCTCCCAAGTGCTGAGATTACAGGTACGCACCACCACATCCAATCTCAATCGCTATCTCAGCGTGCCCCAAAGGCGGGGCCATCACTACAGGTCAGGGCATCGAATCCCTGGCTCCTGCGTCTGCCTAAGCAGGTGCTTTAACCATTGAGCTATTTGACCAGCCCTCAAATGACATATACTTCTAAATGGGCATGAGAATAGTTTAATAGAATGATTCATCAAGCCAAAATGTATGAATACAAGGTATTTCTCTAAGCTGTATATCAAAAATAAAATGTCATCATATGTTACTTTACACAGAAATTTACATTACAACTTATTAGTCAGTGTATTTTTATATTTTATATGTTCCTAGGAATGTGAGAATATAGTTGAAGGTTCAGTAAAAAAAATTGGTCCTGTCCTATTTCCAAAGAATAATACTTTTTGGTTTTCAAAAGAAGTCTATCTGAATAGTAGGAATATATAAAGCCACTTAATTTGTTTTGTTTTGTTTATATTTTCTCTCTGTTTTCGTACCCTTTCTTGTCCAAGAACCTTGTACTTCTCATCATAAGTATTACAAAGAGCTACCGCTGGTGACAGACTGTCCTTGGTACTTTCACAAAGCACACAGATTACTCAGATCCTCAGGTGGTTGCGTCATGGCCCGCTTCCCAGATCTTCAGGGACTCCTCATGAATTACTTAATTGCCTGAATGACTCTTCAACTCCAGCACACAGGGATTTTCTTTAATTCCTTGATTCATTACAACTTGTTCTCCTTCTTTCCATGTATTTTCTTCACCTCCCGAAATTAATTTCACAATTTGATGTATATTTTTGAATCAATTCTACGTCTGTGCTTTCTCAGAAGTCATTTACTTCATCAGAAAGATCTTTCTTTTAACTGTTATAATTTATGCTCATTAACTCTTTCCAAATGTAGGAGAACAGAAGAGGCTTTTTAATATTATTAACAAACACAGTTTATTTTATTAGTGGGAAGTTCTCTAGCCACCAGGTCTCTCTACACACAATGACATGCATTGCCATTGTTTTATATCTAATACAATTATAAGCTCCTAAATTTACCTAAACTAATATTTCATGATTCTCTAGACTAAAATGGATATCATTCAAATATTAAGGATCTTACCTGTTTTTATCATCAACTCTGTTGCTCAGATTAACAGATACAGTTATTTAAGATTGGACAAGTAATTGGATATTAACACTTGCTTTCAATAAACTTTAATATTTTTTTGTCTTTTTTACTTTTTTAAAATTTATTTTAAAGAGAGTATAACAATAATTGATATTAGACATGGTACACATTTAGAAGATCAAGATGAGATGTATTCCACCATGGTTTTTGTATTACACATTGTTAATTTGCTATTCTTGTTTTGAAAATCTGTAACATATGGGTTGTTGTATGTTACCCTGCTTCTGTCTTTGTTTCTGCTTTTGTTTTTACTCCTCAAAATAAAATGAAATAAGTTAAAATAATATTAAGGATCTCTATTTTGTATTTCTAAAGCAAGGATTCCACTCCATTTTAATATAATAAAAGACTATGATTGCACTATATAGCATCTACTTTATCCTATAAATGAAGTTAGTTGAGAATCAAATATGTAGCTACACCTACCGTCCTGAGCAGGCTTGTAGATGGGTTTATCTGTCTGCACAAAGACCACGTTCTGCTTGGGCCTGATTGCCACAGACCTTCTCTCTTCCAGATGGACAGTGGCTCCTTTAGCAGAGAAGGTGAGGAAAGCCAGAGGGGCTGACCTGGCCTGCGGAACCTGGGCACACCAAAGTATCTTATGAGGCTGGTGTTTTTCCAAGAAATCTCTGTCATTTCTGTGTTATAGTACAAAAAGTTTGAACTTACAAGTTCTCATCTCTGTTTCTTATATAACCAGCCACCTTCATATCTGCCCCCCATCACTTTTATTTTATATCCTCATTTAAATTTTATCCCTTGTTAACCTTATCTCCCTGGTCTTATCTCATGATTGTCCTGCCACTTTTCTTATCTCTTCACATAAGTCATTTACATGACTTCTCTGTGATCCCTCTTAAAACTTCCCCTCTCAGGACAGGGGTTTTTCTTTTCATGGATCTTATTCCTTTCAGCCACTTTCTGTCAAAAACTCAAAAGTTTTTAATCTTCCTCCCATCACCCTTTAAGAGTACTTACACCATCTCAAAGCAAAAATTGTATTTTAAAAATTATAATAACATGATACACATTGTCAACGTGGCGCTCTGTTCTTAGAAAGTCAGCTATGTGGGTGGCTTTTATGTACCTACAATATTCTTTTCTGAAGTACACCGAATAAAGAATTTACCTCAAAATTGGTGCATTTAAAGAAATTTTCTCCTGTAACATCCTCTTCGAATATTTTGGTCAGGACCTCACCATAGTTGAGGGAGACAGTCAAAACCACAGATTCAGTCAGATTGAAAAGCTGGGCACAGGCTTTCTCCAAAGAGCTTTCTTGTACAACAGAAGGAACCAGCAGGACATACTGCCTGTGGAATTGAACCAAGAATGTTAGAACTGATATTGTTAAAGAAATGGTTAGCTCATTATCAATTATTTTGTTAGTCATTGAATTTCGGAATTTAAGGAAAGTACATTGTTTCCTAATGTTAGAAACACATCAAAAGACTAAATCTTGGGACTTGAGTGGCACAAAGCAGAAAAATGTTGCCTTATGAGCAGAACTTTGTAGACCCAACATAAACTATGCCATTTACAAAGAAGCGTCCTTGTGTAACGCATTTTTGCCCCTGAACTAGTTAGTGTGTGCATCCTATTTCACGTCTGCCTACCTCCTGTCCATGTTCATTCCCCAGCAGATGCCCATGCATGTGTCCAGCACATAAGCATCCAGCACAGTTCTAAACTCTTACTCAGCATCTGGCCTAGGCAGAGACAAGGTTACCCTCCACTTTTGATTTTTTGATTGCACTGTGAGATACTAATATTATTTAAAATTATTAATTAAATATTTTTAAAAGTAACTACAGTATGAGTACAATAAGTTAGTTTTCAGTACCAAATTCTATTTTATTCTAGCTGCATTCATGCAAACTTACGCAATCACTTACACATTTGGAGGCTGAGAAAGAGACAGATGAAAAAGAAAACAAGCAAGAAGTGACCGCATCCACATTGTGGTCCAAGTAGGTGAAGTCTGCAGACAGACTCTGCTCACTGGGTTGGGGTAGGTAGCTCAGTGTGCGCCGAGTTCAGGCATTCTTCCTGGCCAGGAGAGCGAGCCGTGGAACTATATATCCATGCAGGTGATTTTGCAACCACTTCCTGAATCATTCATAAAGTGCCCCACACATAACCTAATTAGATGCATGCTTAGAATTTTAGTTGCCTCCCTGTACTCCTGTTTCCGGCTAATAGGTGTGTCACTGAGATCATCTCATTTACAAAAGAGACTTGAGCCTGTACTTCCTAGACTTAGTATGTGACTTGTATGGGTGAATCTTTCAAGGACAAACTGAACTACATTTCAATAATCGGTTATTAGCAGTGAATCAGTGTATTACTAAGCTACTTGGTGGTTTAGAACTAAACCTGTGCAGTATACATTTTTAAAAATTTATTTATTTATTTATTTGGTACAGGGTCTCACTGTGCATTTTAGACTTGTAGTGTTACTCCTGTTTCAGCCTCCCCAGCTCTGGGATTACAGGCATGTGCCACCACACCTGTTTTCAGTGGCTGGCTCAGATGCGGTAGCAGGATTGAACCTGGGTTCTTGCACTTGCCAGGCAGGCACTTAGATTGCTGAGCTATTTCCCCAGCCCTACATGTCTGATTGATAACAGTTTCATGTGGCTATTAAACTCAGATCAATTCAAATAGAAAAGTCTTAAGAAAACTCAGATTGGGGACGGGGAGCTGACTCAGTGGAATAAGTGCTTCCCTGGCAAGCGCAAGGGCCTGAGTTCAATCCCCAGTCTTGCCAAAAATAAATAAATAAATAAATAAATAAATAAATAAATAAGAAAACTCAGATTGAAAAGACTTCAAATACTATAGTGATCTTTAAAAACAAATTATTGTTATTGTGTTTTCCACATATTATACATGATATAATTTTGCCTGCCAAATAAATATTTTTAATCCTAAATAGAGGAAATAACTCTCCTCAACATTTTAATATAGTGATAAAAATAGTAACTAACAATGTTTTATTATTGGTATATATAACTGCTCTGTTTATAATAAGTGTATATCTACTGACATATGTGTGAATATAAAACTTTTTCTTGTTTCAAAAAATTTACAGCCCAGGGAGATGGCTCAGTAGAATAAGTGCTTCCCTAGCCTGAGTTCAATCCCTGATTCCACCAAAACAACAACAAAAGTTTCAAAAGTAGCAAAGTATTCAATGAAGTAGCTCTTATTAGTTTGTTTGGCAAGAGAAATTGACAAGTTAAAGATAAAGTTAGATTGTTACATTATTATAGTCCTAGAAAAACACCTTTGGAAATATAAGGCAATTTGGTACCCAATGGTGCTTTGAAATGTTTAGTCATTTTTTGTCCCCTCCTGCTTTAGGCTCCATTACTTTGACAAAACATATATTTTATTCCTCATGGACAAACACTAGGACAGTAGTGGAGCACCTCACCATGCAAGCTTGAGCTCACCACACTGATCTATAAGAAAATCTTTTAGATTGCTGATTGGCATATATATGCTAATTATATATATAATTTCTGGGGCTCATATTCAGAATTATGGTTTGCTTTTTCCTTCTATAAATTTCTAGTACTTACTGAATGATTCTTTCAATATTATTCACACTTACCTCCTTTTTCTTTTTGGTACAGGGAACTGAACTCAGGACTTTGAGCTTGCCAGACAGGTGTTGCACCAATGAGCTATATCCCTAGCCACTTGCCTCTTTTTATAACTTAGTTTTGCCTAACTGAAAATATGATCTCTTATCTTTTGACACATCCGTTTAGATTTCCAAAGTAAATTTTGCTTATTAGATGTTGTCTAGATAGAGATGGTTGTAGCTATAGATCTATGTCTCTGATATATTATCTAAATTTTATAAGTCATAATTATTAAATATGAAACAGTAAAAAAGACATACATACACATACATGAACATAGACACATACTTTTTTTTTTTTTTTTTTTTTTGGTGGAACTGGGGATTGAACTCAAGCCCTTGAGCTTGCCAGGGAAGCTCTTATTCTACTGAGCTATCTCCCCAGCCCCCGGGCATTTTTTTTTTATAATCAAGCCAATTAATAAGAGTGCAATTTGCATACAGAATTCACAGTGGCTTTTTCTTATTCTCAGGCCATCATGGGGAAAACCCCTACTGTGAGAAACATTGACTGCTTCCAAGAAAGGGATGATGTCACCAATAAAATTAAAGGTGTGGCGAAAATAATAGTGTGGGTTGTGTGCCTGGAAAACTGATCGAATCACTTTTAGGATATGGAAAGTTCTCTTCTTTCTATTCACACGGACAACCATTTCCTTATCCTAAAAACAGAGATATATTTTATCAAGCTTATAAAAATGCATGTTGAAATAAGGTCAGTATTTTTTTTTTTTTTTTTTTTTTTTTTGCGGAACCACGGATTGAACTCAGGCCCTTGTACTTACCAGGGGAGCACTTATTCCACTGAGCCATCACCCCGGCCCCAAGGCCAGTATTTTAAAATAAAGACAAAAACAGAGTTCCAAACAAAATCTAAATCAATATTACTAACGTAAAGATTATTGCTCTAGTAAAGAATTCATGCAAAAAAAAAAATACACATTTGAGACTGGGGTTGCTGGCGCGTGCCTATAATCCCAGCTCTTGGGAGGCTGTAAACAGGTAGATCACTATGTGTCCGATCTAATAGTGAGATCCTAAACACCCTGTAGACCCTTCCCTAAAATACAAAGAAAGAAAAAAAGAAAAGAACTCATTTGGGGTGACCCGTATTCTTTTTTAAAGAGCAGCTATTTTCTTTATGAAATAAAAAATGAGCCCAGTAACTGCCAACATAAAATATGATATTTGTCCAACAGCTCTTTGAATATTATGATTGCAATCATGTGAATATTGCACGAATGTTATTGCAGTAACACATATTGTGTGCTTTACTTTCAGTGCATATCCGTATATTTAAAGAAGAAAATATTTTTATCCAGACACTTTTGCCTGTATTCTAATACAGTGGAAGATATTGCATGTCTAGATATTATATACTCTTAAGAAGTAAACACATGAAGTGGGTAGGTGGCGCCCACCTGTAGCCTCAGCACTCCAGAGGATCAATATGAATGTAAGGCCAGTCTAGACGACACTGTGGGGCCTTGTCTCCAAAACAAGCTTGACCAAACCGAACGATAAGTAAGTAATATATCCTCATGAGAGTAAAGTATTATAAAGAATAACTTATGCTTTGAATAGTAGTAAAAGCATACGCATTATTCCTAAGCTTATTTGGAAGTACAGCTCCTCTTTAGTCTCACATTCTTCTCAATCTGCCAATTTCACCTGGCTCCTGAGGTAATATTCACCATTTTAATCATTAAGAAAATACACAACTTTTGGGCAACACCCTAAGTATTTTGCAAATTTTGACTGTCAAGAGTGCATGATATTCAGTGTCTCTTCTTACCGAGTGACTGAAGAGCTCAAGGGAAATTTGCAAGGAATTTCTCATGAGTCACGCAACAAGTGGAAACTTGTCCCTCCCCCTGCAAAACACATTTCCTGACAAGCCCAGTGAGCAGACTTCCGTGGGCAGGGAGTTCATGCTGTGAAGGTGAGCATTGTCTGTCCCTCTTTTGCCTGAAGGCTGCTCAGTGTGTGAAGACCCACGGGCGCTTGGAACCATGGCACTGTGTAGGGGTAGCCAGCCGTCAGTGTGCTTTCTGGGTTGCCCTTTGTGAACATAAAAAAGGCTCTGTCAACTTGCTGGGTTTGGCATTAAGTTGTTGTAACAAATTATAAACACTGCTAGAAATGTTTAGCCAGATGCAGTCTTGCTGGTAGGGTGCAGCTGGGAGAGAAAGCTTTGCTGGGAGCAGTCTGCTGTGGAACTAGCTACTTTGCATGGAAAATGTTACACTTATTTTCTCTTAGCTACTGGCGCAGCTACATTTACTCACATGGACTTTTCACATTAGCATATTAAGAATGTGCCTGTGTGTGTGGTATTTTCCTTCCTTTCCTTGCCAGACAGTTACAGGAAGGACGAAGGCCCTGGAGCTTTGCAGCCAGTGCTCCGAAGCTACTGGTTCCCCTACTTACTGGAAGAGCAACTCTGCATGAACTACTTATTTCTCTGATCTGTGGGTTTGTGGTTTGTTAATATGACATAATGACTGTTGTACTGTTGTAGGTGGCTGGATTAGATAGAAATATTCTAGGTGGTCAGACAGGGCTAGGCCCTCAAGGAGACAAGATGGAAGACAAGGTGACTTTGCAACTTTAGAAGAGACAGACTTGCTTTGGGCCAGACTTCAAGATAAAAGAGTAAAACACAGTCACATACTTCCCTAGGGATGGGCATCAGTGATTGATATTCTAAATAGGTATCAATCACCTTGAAAGAGCTCTAAAGAGCACTAACCCAGCCCCCAACAGAAAGAGACCCTGTCCTATACTGCTTGCTACTGACTCCTTTCCTCCTTTGTTTTTTTTCCATTTCTTTTTCTTCTTTTTTGGTGGGCTCAGCCTGCCCTGTGGGGAGGCATGGCACAGGTGCTGGGAGGACTGAGCCTGGGTTCCCTTGCACCTGCCTAAGCTTGCCTAAGCAGGTGCTTTAGGCCACTGAGCTATCTCATCAGCCCTCCCTTCCTTATTTGGTATTGGATTTAATCAATTTTATCTGAGCGATGGTGCTTGTAATCTCATTGGTTGACCAGAGTTTTGTTCTACTTCATGCCCACCTAAGTGAGTTCCCATGTTCTCCACCACCTTAGATCCACCTCACTGCCTGGTATTACCCTTTAAAAGTCCCTGGAAAAGACAGCTTCCTGGGGACAACCTGCTTGGGCTGCCCCTTCTGTGCTTCTCTTGGACAGGAGCTTTCTTTCCCCCAATAAATATATTCTGCTCTTGACCTCCATTTGTTCCTAAAATCCATTCTTTGGTTTTAGAGAACACGAACGCGTCCCAGGTAACGTTCAGGCTGGGAGTTTCATTTTCCCCTACTCCAGTACCTTAAAAGCTTCTAAGTGAACTAGATGAAGTAATATTTTTAAAATTTAAAATGATTAGGATAATGTCTGACACATAGCAAACATTTGGATAAGTCCCTATGGTACTAATCTTCCCCTTTTTTTCTGAAGCTCTAGCCAGATACAGCATTTCTATGAAAAATGGGTGATTCATGTTGGCCAACTCTTTATACTGGCTCTTCTTAAAATTAGTTCTCTGGGATTAGCAGTCTAGAAAGACAAAAATTTTAAAGTTCAAAGGGAAAGAAGAACTGGAGTGAGAGAAAGGAGAAAAGAAAGAGGGGGAAAATGTTTATGTATATACACAAGAGAGCTTGGATAATTGTGTTGCTGATTTCTGTTGGTCTCTTGAAAGGAGAAGCTACTGTTTAAATTTTTTCTCTTTCCTTTTAAGTATTTAAATAATTTTTGACCAGTTTTGCATGCTTATATCTAGTAATCTGAACAACAAATTTTAGGACAGCAATCTGCTATATAACAACCACTGTTGAATTACTATCTTTATTTTATTTTATTTTTGGTATTTTTTAGAGAAGGGTCTACAGGGTGTTCAGGGCCTCACTACTAGATCAGACTCATAGTGATCTGCCTATTTACAGCCTCCCAAGAGCTGGGCTTACATGAGTGCCCCCGCAGGTCCAGTCTCAATTTCGGTCTCAGTGTATCCTGGGGGGCGGGGCTGGCACAGGAATTACTATCATTTTGTTTAGTGAAATTCTGTATTGTTTCTAATGTGTGTATGTGTGTGTTTAAAACTTTTTTATTCTCTTTAAAAAGTTTAAAGATACATGAAAATACTATATCACCTGCAAGTTACAGAATATTGAACTAAATGGAAATGGTTTAGCAGCTTACTAGGGACGCTGAGTTTTGTATGTTCCTTTTGCTCTGCTTACTTGGCGATATCATTTACCATCCAGCGGTGGGTTCTTCTCTTAACACAGAAAGTAGGACAAGGCAGATAGTCAAAAGGGAACTGAGCACTGGTGTTCACTGCAGTAGTGCAGAGTGAAAGCATACAACAGCATTTGTCATACAGTGAAAGCAAATATCCTTGAGCAAATAACCAGGGAGGGGCCTGAATGAGCTGCCAAAGGGACTCTTTGTCTGGGGGATTTTCATGCACAAAAAATGACTATGTCTCAGTCAAGCCATGATCAACCTATGGGGCCATAAGCAGGAAGCCTGACTTGGCAGTGGGCCTGTAGGAGCTCAGGGTTCATAGTGGGCATACTTTCGATAGCACAATTAAGTGCAACATTAAACAGGACAAAGACCTTCTTTAGAGAAGCATGAATATTTTATTTCTGGGCAGGAAAATTTTGTCAACCCAATGAGGTCCTTGTTTGCTGAGCCTCCAGTGCCCTGGCCTTGCCCTCCTGTCCTTTCCTGAGCCATCCCTGCTCCCTCTGTGGTGTGGCCTTTTCCTGGGAGCCTGAGCTCTCCTGGCCAGGATGCTGCCCACCACCACCTCCTCTCGAAGTCCAGTGTTAGAGAAATCTTCCCACCATCCCACAGAACCCCACTTGCCCTCAACATGCTGTTTTACAGAAACTGATCATTTAGGTGCCTGCTGGGTACCTCCTAGGTTAGGAGAGTAACACCCAAACTGGGAGGGCTCGTGATTCATCAGCCCAAGTCTCTTGCTATTTCCTTGCTTGAAATCATATTTACCTTTTGGTTATAATAAAAATTGCTTCTTTCCAACAATATCTGCATCTGGAAGAAAGGAGTCAGTTGAAACAATTCTTCTAGATTTCTCCTTTGCTTCCACTTCTTTTCCCTTCTTGTTTTTAACCAAGAAGGAAAAAATCATTGGCAAAGCCAAGCCAGCAGGTTCTCCCATGCAGCTCCTTCCACAGCCCTGCTCTGTCACCCCGTTGCCTGCCCAGAGTAGAAGCTGCTGATGTGCACTCCCCTTGCTCCCTTCCTGGCAGAGGACCTCAGTTAGGGATGCAGGGGGCTGTTCTTGCTGAGATGCATTCAGCTTTGAGTTTCCTTTAGGCTCAGAGATATTTTACCAGGTTTCCTCCCACCCTTCCCTGAGCGATACTGTGTCCTGTGTTGATGTAAAGGCCTCTTTCTTGCCTTTAATTAGGACAGATCTCAGTGTAATGCCAACATCTCCCCTTGGAATTCAGGTCCTCTTGCTGAACCCCGCCTCCTCCACCCCCACAACTACTGAAGTGAGAGTTCTTTCCAACAAACTTCTAGAGCCAGATCTGAATCTTGCAGGCTTGAATCATGGAATTTAACCTACACGATGTAACTGGTTTAGGAAAATTATTATTTATCCGTAGCACCGAGATCTGAGCAGGACACAAGCTCTCTAAACTTACAAAAGGGGAAAGGCTCTGTGGTGAACAACCACAAACATAGATAAGTGCACCTCCAAGTCATTTTATTTTGACTACTGCATTATGTCAGAGGGATGGGAAATGAGGAAGGAGGATCTGAAGTTTGTGACCAGACGAGCAATGGAGATTCTTCTTCCAATCATATCTAGAATCTGAGCCCTCTTTGCCATTTGCTTGCCTTACTATAGGAGATTCTACCAGGCCTCACTTCTCCTGCTGCACTTTGATGGCCTGTTCCCAGCAGTCAGTAATCATTTTGGGAATTCCAGGGCAACTTTGCCTCCAATCCCAAACCCTAAGTGATTTATTTCATTTTGCTCAAAGTGAAAGCTAAAGTCCTAATATTTACCCTCTGTCCCCTACATGTGCTGGCTCCCCATTGTGGTGACTATCTTGTTACCTTCTACTACTGTGTGCCCTTCTTTTTTCTCTCTGCTCCAACCACAGTGACTTGAGCTGTTTTTTTGAAAATGAGGACACACTTCCACCTCAAGAACTGTTCTTTCTTTCTTTTTTTTTTTAAAGATGATTGCTAGCTGATTCTATGACTAGGATTAGCGTTTCTTCAGGAATCTATGTAGCTAGCCTTCTCCTTTTCAGAACTTTTGCTCATCACTTTCTTAGTGAGATCATCCTTGTGTATCAGGTTTAGTTTGCTCGTCTTTCTCCTCTTCCTGTCTCTTAGGATGTTGTACATCCTTTCATCTCTCTCGACATTGTATATTTCCCATATGACACATTAACTCCTCTTTCGCTATACATGGTCAACCTGTGGTTATGTCTGTTGTGTTGTTTGGTTACCTGGACTCCTGCATTAGAATTAAGCCCCACAAAATTTGCATTATTTTATATTATAATTTTCATTCAGTGCCATATCCCAATGCAGACTCATGCTGTCAGCTCTCCGGGGAGCTTTGATTCCTTCATTCTTAGACTCATGCTGTATCTTGATCTCTGTTGTCTTGTGGCTTCTCAACTGAACATCTACTCGTTCCTTGAACTCTCCAGGACACAGAGAGCCACTGTGGATGATCATACCTCTGACCCTGCTAGTTAACCTAATAAATTCTCTTGCATAATTATGGATTGCATATATATATATATATGTGTGTATATATATATATATATATGTTTAATATGAAGTAATTTAATTGAAGATAATTAGATGTGTTTATTCGCTCATTCTTGTAGTCTCTTGGACACTGTGTGCTGCTTATACTACCTACTACCTAAATTACACCTGACACTTTAACAAATGTGTCCATTAATTGATTTCATAATAAACATCTAATTGTTCATGCACATGACTACTATGTATGTTTATTTCACAGTGTTAAGAATTTCTGGGCATCTTTTTAGTCCTTCTATTTACCAAAGTATGGCATGTCAGACAGGTATGTTGGATACCAGCACTCATATCTTATATAAAATTTCCAGTCTTTATGAATATTCAAGATCTCATTCAAGGACATGATACATCTTCCATTATACATTTGAGGTGAAGTTTCAAAGAAAAAGAAGGGATTTAGATTGGGCCTTATGACATTCGTTTGTTGGCATATTGGTTAAGAACAGAATTGATAGAGTATATATTATCAATTATGTAATTATTATTCAATAGTTATCAATTGCATAAATTGTATAAGTCATGGCAGTGTTGTTATTGAGTATAACTACTCTCATAAAAACTCTACTTAACTTATCAATGAAAGTAATACTCAGTAATTATTCCATGTCATGATATAACATGACTTTTACAATAATGCATTATACAGAGGTTATTAAGACTTTCAATACTAAGTTATACAACCTGAACAATAAAATAACTTTTAAAAGATAAAATGCCATTTGATGAACTGCCTAATCTTGTATTTGAACTCAATTAAACTATCACTTAATTTGTGACTTTTTAAAACTGTTTCCAAAGCGTTTGCTTCTGTTTGTGTGTTTTTCTTTTCTTGACCTTTTAGAGAGTCCATTCTAGCTTCCACTTAGTCTCTTTCTATCCTTTCCTGCATCTTCTTCTGTAGATATTGGAGAACTGCTCTTCCATATGCCATAATGTTTAAAACTCGAATTGAGAATCGCCAATAATAAAGTAAATGATTCAAGCTTCTAGCAAACAAAACCCTGGGTTCTCTAGAATGAAGATGATGAACGAAGTATTAACAAAAAGGAAAATCATGAACTAAGATATGAGATCATAGAATTTAATGGGCTAGAAAAGAGGCAAAATTTGACAACAAGACATAGCAGATTGTGGCTTATTCAAAATCTGTGGTGCTTCGTGATTCTCAGAGTTCAATAGAAGAGGAGTTTGTTAAAGAAATAGGCTTCCACCTAGGGTTTAAAACACAGTTTAAAAGATAAATGTGTGATTGTACATACAGATGGATCCATAAAAACATGTACCTATACATACATCCAAGTACAGATATGCTATATTGCAGTACATAAGTATATTACATACATATTCGACCTGTCAATTTATAAAACAAAATCGAGATCAACAAAAAGCATAGAAACAGCCAGGGAGATGGCTCAGTGGAATAAGTGCTTCCCTGGCAAGCGCAAGGGCCTGAGTTCAATCCCTGGTTCTGTAAAAAAAAAAAAAAGCATAGAAACATAAATCTGTAAGCACTTTAAAACTATTTTAAGGGGTTAATAAATTTTAATGAATGTCAGAGTATTGATGTACTACAGCAATACAAACCATATGAAGTTTTAGAGACTTCTCTTTATTTCTCTATTGTTTTATTTTTATAATTTTCTCACCAGATAAATTTTACCAGACAAATTTTCAATGATGGTGTAGTTAATTTCTTTACCTGATCCTTCTGTATGCTTCAGTGGGAAACAGAAATATTATCAATGTTGTAGGAATCAAAGGCATATTCATCTGAAATATAAAGGAACATGTATCCTTACTGAATCTCCAAACATCTATAACCAGCATGTCAAACAATATAATAAGCACACTAGATCTAAGCTTTTCAATAGTTTTTAAAGAAGTATAAATAGGTTATAAATCTATAAACATTTCTTTAAAGTTTACTGCTTGACTAACTGCATTCAATTAATAAAAGAAAGAGACAGCATTCAAGTACTTCTTGACGAACTTCATATGAGAGTCCATAAGAAACTAATAATGTCAGGCTTCCAGAGTGATGTTTTATGGTCCCTGCAGTAGAGTAGTAATTGTTTGGAATAGAATCTTCCCAAATTTTCCAGTAGAGTTTCAGACTACTGCCTACTTTGTTCTTAAGTCAAAGTTCACAGAGATAGCACAACATGGTCACTCCTGACGTGAGCAACAGTGGCCACAACAAAAAAGACCAGGAGGCTTCCTATGGCTTGCACGTTAGGTCAAAGGCCAGCCTTGTCACACTACACATCCAAAACATGCTGTGTATTGAAACCTTGGCTAACTGGACACTGTCACAAGCAGAAGCAGCACCATGGAGAAAACCAAGTCCCTCCTACAGAGTAAAGCTGTCTGTTGTCTAGGCTGAGGACAGGCTGAATTTGGCAAAAGTAGCAGCTTGGACACGTTTTTTGTAACTACTGTGTTCATAGCTTCAGGCCACTGACACTTGCCTACCTTTTGCATGATAATTGTAGACCATGACTGGAGCTGGCTGAATGTTAGACACGAGGTTGCTTTGCTCAACAGAAACAGTGAAACTGCTTGCTGTATCCAGAACCTACAAAGATGCAAATTACAAGTACATCATAGCAAGTCTGAAAGAGGAAAACGACTGAAAATTACTTCCAAAGTCTGCTATCAATTCAATTAAAGAGATCTGGGATGAGTATTATCATACATAACAGAAAAGTGAATAAATTGACATTAAACTGTGTGAAAACTTAATTCTCACTTCTTACTGAATTGCTAAGAGAAAGAAAATAAATAAATAAATAAAGGAACAATGCCTGTTTGCTAAAGGCATTGTTTCTTTTTCTTTGTTCTAATTTGTGCTATTTATTTTGCCGATCTGACAAAAATAAACTAATAAAGCTAATTCCATTATTTTAGGATTAAACAGATCCTTTGGAGGAATATAAGTGTTTATGAGAGTAATGTACAATGTTATGTGAATACTCTTAGACTTGGAATATAAAAAGTTAAATTCATAGATGCAGAAAGTACAGTCATAGTTACCAGGGGAGGAAAAATTGGGAAACGTTGGTCCGAAGTACAAAGTTCTAACTAAAGAATTTCATGATGACAAAGCCAAGCCTACACAGGCTACTAAATGAGGTTCTAGAGAGGGAGCAAATTGGTTACAGCCCCATGAATGAGAATGGAAAGAACCCGTCAAATAGGGCAAAAAGAGGAGAATAAGAGGTATACAATAGTAGTCTTTTAGTTATTCCTTTGTGTTCAGCAGCAGAATATTTTCATCAGCACACCCTACAAATGGACTTCTCTTCCACCCTATGAGTCATGATTCCACCTGAGTCTACAGGGTGGATTTCAAAGAAATAGCTGTAGCTCAGTTCCACAAGTGACGCCTAGCCACCAGTAACTGTCTTGGTCATTATGCATGTCCACAACACACTAGAACTTTGTGTGATATCCTATCCTCAAACTGTTAGAAATGCTGGTCGTTTACTTGCCATTCCAGTATTTATCTTATGTTTTACTCTTAGTACTTCTTTGCTATCATGAAAACTTTTTCTTAGTTCAATTGTTTTGAACCATTTAATTTTCTGAATATTGCTTAATCTTAATTTTTGTTCTAAGATTTATACTATATCTTTGACTTACAATTTATTTAAAAGACATTGTATGATATCTTCTCCTAGTATTAGAAACTTTAAAAAGTATATTTCCATTTTCTGTTGACTTTTAAAAAAACAGAGGTTTGTACCTATGTTGTTCATTTATTATTTCTTGCCTATATCTCGTAATATGAGAAACTACTTTGGCAGTAACAATACACAATGTACTAACCATTGTTACTCTCCTAAGATCTTGTTTTGAGATTTGGTACCATTGTTTTTATTTCTTTTATTTTAAAATAAAAATAACTGATGTAAAAAAAAAACCCAAAAAACCACAAAGTTCAAAGTTCTGATTATGGACACGAATGTGTCCTAAAACTATAATGGATGGAATGAGGGGAATAGTTGATAATACTCTTTGTATACTTGAAATTTGTCAAGAGTGTTCATTAAGTCTTTTTAGCACATAAAACAATTATGTTAAGCATGCATACTTTGTTAGCTTAATTAACCCATTCACTATACATATGCCAATCAAAACACCACACTGTAATCTTAACTTTATTTAATTGCAATGAGCTTTTAAGAAATGATGCCAGTCTTCACTGATGCTCAAGTCTAAATATAAAAAAAGATACATTTTCCGTAGAGCCAAAGTTAGATAACGAGAGAAATGAAAATGTGAAGATAATGTTTATCAACTTCAGATTTGCCTAGTCAGGGGAGTATGGCTTTTTTATATGAAATAAAGTCAATGAGTGTTAATAGGGAGTGACGATAGGAGAGGCAGAACACTTGCCATCTTTTATGTCCTGTATTTTCATTATCTTGTCACGTGTAGCCATAAGAAACAGAAGCATGTGACTGCTCCCGAGAAGACAAAAATATCCATGAAAGAAAAACAGTTATCGCTGAACTTACATTTTCTAAGTAGAAAAGTACATGGTCATTCTTGACTTCGGTCTTCATCACATGGCCACCGCTTTCAAGCTTTGAGAACATTGGGAGGGAAGGATGGGGAGTAAACATTAAAGTACACGGAAGTGTCACTGTGGAATGAATGCCTAGGCTTTCTATTTTGTCAGGTTCTATTTGATCAGATTTTTCTGGTACCATAACATTTTCACAAGCACCCGTAGAAACCCAATGAAGAAATACATTATGAAATGCCTGCCTGGCAAGCAAAAGGTACTGAGTTCGATCCCCAATAAAAAAAAAAGAAAAGAAAAATAAAGAAAACAAAAGAAGAAAAGAAATACATTATGAACCTTGGCAAATAATGACTATGTTTTGCTACAAATTAAGAACATCATCCCTTTCATGTTACACTGAAGCAAAAACACAATTGTCAATTTTCAAAGAGAAGAATTCCATGGTTTTGTGTTATTTGATCTAAATATTCTATTCATTTCTGTGTACTGAAAGGTGATGCTTCTATTGCCCACCTGCTCCACAGATGACAGGACTGGGGTAAATCCTGAAAGCATCTTTACATCCACAAGGACCACACTGGGGTTACTGTGATTACCAGTGTATCTGAAATTGAAAGGAGAAAAAAGTCTACTAGTTCATCCATCAATGTAGCCTTGTCATAGCAAGGCTGAAAGGTGCGACCTGGAGCACAGGTGAAAACAGAAGTGGAGAGACCCAAGGAAAGCCATCTTCAAACAACTGAGAGCATTCAGAACAGAATGAGACTGGATGAGGTGATATAAAGGAACACATGCTGGAGCAGACAAGAAAGTATCTGAATCTAACATCTCCCCAAATCTGCTGCTCAGCATATCTGAGATCTCAGAGTCAGGACTTACAACACAGCTTGCCTATTAGTGATTATATAGATTCATGCTGTGCTTACATTTAGTCAACAAGGGGAGAGTTTTGCAAAGGCAGCTGGATGGAGCATACAGCAGGAAAGTGCCCCCAAGAAGAATTCTAGGTCTTGATCCTGCTTCTGCATAGCATCACTGGAGAACTAAAGCTAAGATTTCCATAATGCATTTAATCTAATAATCTAAGGTGTTAGAGATTTTATACTTAGAAATCTTAGGAAAAGTTTCCCACACTAATTTTACTCTGTATTTCCCTGCCTAGGAGCTTACACTATTTTTTTTTTTTACAGACAGCATAAAAAATTTATTCATTTATTTTGTAAAGATAGTACAAAATAAGTATTTAAACAGAAAAATTACAAGTGATACAGAATTTCACTTAACAAAGTAATATGAATTTCACAGTACTTGTAATGCATAATGTTGTCTTCCAGCCAGTTATTCATATTGCCAGATATATGCATGCAAAATTAGAAGAAGGAAAAAAGAGAAAAAAAGAAATGTATAAAAATTAAGAGGAGAAAAAGGAGGCAAAACATATTAAGCATTATCTGCTCATTTCCACAGAGAAGCAGAAATGCGCAGTACAGTAGTCCAAACCATTCTGCTTCCATACATAGATACATCTCTTTCCCCCACCTCCTCTCTTGTCCTTCTCCCCAACTCAGTAACTCTTTCCCTTTGAATGAGACCATTCCTTTTCCCCAGTATCGACTGTACCCTTCAGATTCCATTTTCCCTTTCAGATTCTCACACTAAGACACAATATGATGTTTGGCCTCTGTAACTCTTCTTTGAATTCAAGAGGATTATTTTATTTTCTCTTTAAAAAAAATCTGAAAATTTGCACTTGATAAGTTCAAAATAAACATTTACTGTCTTTCTACTCTAGAGCTGACTGAACAAGTTGAGTTGGAAGTGGTGTGTCTCACCTGCGCAAATCTGGCAGCATCTCCACATGAAAAAATAAACGCACTGCTGGACTGTCATTGTAGCAACAGCTTTCAAATCATACTTGCATAGGATGCAAATCATTTTTGCTTACAATCCTAGTCCTGATTCACCTGAAGTTGTCCTAAATGTACAAGTTATGTTTCTCCATAGTGTCTACACAGAGCTACACGAAGGGATTGTCATGCACGTATAGTGTCATCACCACCCTCCTCCTCTTCTGCCTCATTATAATCACCATCCTCGTTGCAATCATTCCTATTTTGTTCTTTTATTCCTGTTTAAAATTTGTATTTCCTGCTGTAGTATCCGTCTAATTTTGGAATTAATGTCAGACTGTGACACTTACTTGAGGGTCACTGTAAGGTCAAACTTAGTCTGTAACACATCCGAAGAGGAGTTCTTCACAATCTCCAAGGAAAGTGAAAATCCAGATGACTTTTTGGGTAGTGGCACACTGAACTTGACTGTGGCCTAGAACAGATGTCAAGTAAGACAAAACTCAATCTGTAGCAAGAGCTGAAGTATCTATTATTTTGATACAGTATTTCCATTTTTTCTGTACTTACAGATTTCTCAGCAGGGAATCAGGCTAAACTGAATTTAGCTTTCCCCAGATATAGAATCTTTCACAGAATGACTTAAGAAAGATAGAGTACTTGAATAGAAATCTATCTGTTCTGGAAATAGAAAGGTAGAATACTTGAAGAAACATCTACTGGATAGGTAGGCCTAACGACAGCACCTTTTCACAAAATAACTGACAGTTTCTACTACTGATTAGGAAAGAAATGAGAGAAAGTGTAGAAAAACATAGACTCATGGAAAATGCCCAAGTCACGTTTCATATGTAATAACTGAGGTGGAGGCTCCACATGGCACACAATTTCTTCCTCTTTAGCAAGGCTTCTGTTACCTGGATAAATGCACAGCCTTGGCCTTCCACATTGACTGTGTAGTGCCCGTCTGCCTTTGTCAGTTCTGAGCGTTGGACCAATAAACGATTTTCTTTGTTGACATGGAAAATCTCCATGGATTCTTCACTTAGAAAGGTGACTGAGTTTTGATCGTTAGAGAAGGTTAATTTCATATAGCTGGTTATGGCAAGAAGACAGACTGTGGTATCCTACAAAGAACAGTATGAGTAGTTGTAATATAATGTTAGGCCTCATTTGACTGCAACCATTCTATAAATCCACAGAAGTATTTCTGAAGCACTTCAACAGAATGCCAAGAAGCAGTATCCTGAACAATGAAACATAAACTTAATTTTCTTTAATAAATATTAATTTTACTTGGCTTTTCTAAATGGTTTGATAAGCCATAACCTCTGAAAAACAGTTCTGAAAGTAAAGGCATTGTGTACTTTTGATGAACTCAAAGGTAACTTCTATGCCACTCCACTTCAAAGAAGAGAAGACAGAGGGCTGCTGGTTACTTCTGGAGTTTGTTCTGAGCTTCCTCCTCCTCCCTCCCAACTTCTGTGTGTACCCCAACTCTGTCTTCTCGAGGTCCTGCTCCATTTGCATTCCAGCTTTTCCTTCCCTGGTGCATGGAAAGCTGTTGAATCCATTACTCATAGCACCTGTCTCGCAGCCCTTTTCTGTCTAGTGTTGTTTTTTGGCTTAACTCCAAAGCTTTATTCTTTGCTTTGGTCCTTTCTTCACCCTTCAATTCTATTTGCCAATGTGGTTTTATACTTCTAGATATTCTGGGACTGATGTCCTGAGATTCTGGCTGTGGTCACTTGTCTGTGATATTATGTAGTTGGGAACTCCTTAAGAATGTACACTATTTGAACCTGCAGGAGCTTGGGTGGCGGTGCATTCCTGTAATCCAAGCACTTGGAAGGCTGAGGCAGGAGGATCACCCTGAGTTCAAAATCAGCCTGAACTACAAAGAGAAACCCACTCACAAACAAACAAACAAAGTGAACTGCTCAGGACCCAGTGTGGATAATTTCTGAGAATGAAGGGGAAATTTCTGCTAACACTCTCCTCTACCCCCACCCATTTCAGTTTTCAAAGTCTTGCAATCGAGAGCTCACTGGGTCAGTTCTGGTGGGTGGACTCTTGAGGCTATTCCATCAGAACAAAGACTAACAGTCTGGGGGCCAAAAGCACTCGCTCAGCATGTCAGAGTGCTGCACCCTGTGAGACTGTAAGCAGTCCATTGTCCTACTTCCTTCCCCTTTCCTCTACCTTCCATCTTTTTTATTCTCTTGGTTTATACTTTTACTTTCCTTTTCTCCATTGGCTTTGGAATGGAAGTATGTTTTAAAATTATATGTTGGATTTCCTGAATGAAGTTTTAAACTGCCCTTTTCTTTCTTTTTCTTCTTCTTTTTTTTTTTTCCCCCCCTGTACCAGGGATTGAACTCAGGACCCTGCACTTGCCAGGCAAGCACTTATTCTACTGAGCTATCTCCCTGGCCCAAACTGTCCTTTTCTAAAAACAACAACAACAACAAAACACAAAAGAAAAAACCAAAAATAAAAAAAAAACCCAAAAACCAAACCAAACCAAACAAACAAAACTGGAAAGCTATAATCAGAAGTCTTTTGAGACTCTATTTGTCTGTGGTTTTACTAAAAAACTATGACCAAAAATTTGAGGGAAATGAACATTTTTCTTAGAAAAATAAATCTGTATTTCCTTTCAATGTTTCCTGAAAAAGCAATTATTAGTTTTACAGTTACTTCATTTCTCCTGTTAATTGTTCCTTTTGTGCTCCTTTTCCACCGCATAGGCCATGCGGTTAGGGACAAACCTTTCCTTTTGGTTGTTGTGTAACCTGAGTGCAGCATTGTCTGATATCTAATGCACCAAGGCTCTGATGGCTGTGCCAGAAACATGTTCTAAAATCACATTCTATTTTTGATGTGAAAAGGAAGTGATAGGGCATAAAGAAAAGCCTTCATTTTATTTATTTGTCTTTAGAGATTTCCTTAAGGATGTCTGACACAAAATAACTGTCCGTAAATAATTGTTGGCCAAATTAAATAGGACTGAAAAACAAAACCTTCTTCACCCTAGAAGGTGCACTTTGGTGATCATCTTTGCTATCTAAGCTCGCTGTAGAGCAGACTCTTCTGCCTTCAGCATACTGCTATGGGGTCAGCCGGGCCCGCGTCAGTCACCTGCGTGGAAGCGAAGCCTCCACGGGAGTTCATCTTCTGGACCAGCCACTGCACGATCTTGCTAGCGTAGGTCAAGTCCTGGGTCCTTTGGGACAGTACAGCCAGCAGCACATAACAAGTCTTCTCAGTCTCACTAGGAGCCGCAGGAAGAAAAGATGAGAAACTGTCTGTGTTGGCTTCCTTTTCTTTACCCCAGTATATCATGTTATCTGAGAAAAAGGAAGAAATTCACATAGTCAGTATGAAAACAAATTGCATGCCTTTTATAACCAGTCCTTATAAAGTTAGTAATGCAAATAAGTAATGCAAATTCCTTTTCTGACTGATGTTTGGGGCGGAGTTATGTTCCCCTGAAATTAATACACTGAAGCCCTTCCCTCTGGGACCTCGTTTGTGTGTTTGGAGATGGGATCTTCACAAAGGCTTTCAAATCCCAGCAAGTCCTTTAGGGTTGAGGTGTAATTCAATCACACAGTCCTTAGAAGATGGAGAAGTGTACACACCAAAATGCTGACAGAGATTCATGCACACACACACACACACACGCGTGCGCAAACACATACAAGCATGCAAACACATATATACACATGGGGGGTATGAGGGAAGGAGAGAGAGACAGAGACAGAGACAGACAGAGACAGAGAAACAGAGAGAGATTTCTACCTCTAAGAACTGTGAGGAAATAATTTTTTTTAAGTTAACACATTTGTGGTATTTTATATTTACCAACTGACCAATTAATATAGTCTCAACTAGCAACTGCTTAAGATAAAAAAAAATTGCCATAAGTAACTATTATTGTCTGTGGCATGGAACTCTGCTCCGTCTCTTTTTCTTCATTTATTTGAGATGGAACTATCAGAAAAGAAAAATAGTGAAATCTAGAATATATAATATTCTTTCAAGATACAATAGATAATGGGAGGGTCAGGGAGATGGCTCAGTAGAATAAGCGCTTGCCTTGCACAAGGGCCTGAGTTCAATTCCCAGTTCCACAAAAAAAAAAAAAAAAGAAAGAAAAAAGAAAAAAGAAAAGATAATAGGATAGGGAAAGACCCTGTTCAATGGGGGAAAAAATTGGGATGAGGAAAAAGACAAAAGAGACAAGGGAAAAAGATATATTTATGTATATGTGCAAGACAGTTTGGGTAATTGTACTGCTGATTTCTGCTAATGTATTGAAAGGAGAAGTTAATGCTTACCATATTTTTAAATTTTTTTTTCTTCATTTTATTTTTTATTTTTTATTTTTTTTTTGCGGAACCAGGGATTGAACTCAGGCCCTTGCGCTTGCCAGTGAAGCGCTTATTCCACTGAGCCATCTCCCAGCCCCTTCTGTTTAATTTCTTATAACTTTTTTTTTTTAACCACTTTTACTGGTTTATATCTGTTAACTTAAAAACTAATTTGAAGGTAATATGATGCAATACAACAACCACTGTTGAACTCCTATTACTTTGTTTAATGAAATTTTGTATCATTTCTAAGTTTTAAAACCATTTGTATTCTTTAAAAAAAATAATTCTTTCAAGATAAAGGGACACTGATGCATTGCAGAAAAGAAACAGCAATACACAGAGAAAGAAAGCATTTCCTTATGAGTGCTGAGGAAATCTCATCGCCTTGCTTCTTGGTCCTCTCCCATCACCCGAAGGGAAGACCCGCTTACTTATTTTTGTGGCAGATTGATCCAAGAGCTGGAGCAAGCCTTCCACTTGCTCTTCTTTTCCAGCTAATGCAAAAGTGTAGGCGAGGACTGCGCGGGTGTAGTCGTTAGTGACACCCCTTTCCAAGGCATCTTCCAGGCAAAAGAGCCCATTTCTTAAAACAGGAAACTACGGAGAAGAAAATATATTCTTAAATGACACCTGAGCATTTTATAAGCTCTCTGAATATTCAAGCTAATCATTATTTATTTATGGATCTCATCTAGAACTTTTATTAAAATAAATAGGACTTTCTCTCCCATCCTTCATATCCCTTAACTTTCCTTTTTTTCTTTCTTTTTTTTCCATAATTTTATTGATAAACAAATAACAATGAGACAGTTTCGAATCAAATTGGAAGGACAGTTTCAATAATTAACACATTACATACATTCTTCCTAGTGGTTAACTGCTGTACAAGATGCAGACATGATATCCTATCTACAAACACCATTAGAACAAATCTCTCCATTTATTAAGAGAATGTAACTATATATCTATCCTAACCACTTTGAATACACAGATGCATAATGGACATTCATCTGTATACCCTTTTCTAATCATTATTTATAAAGTGTAGAATAAAGCCTTGAAGTACATTTTACACACAAACCTATTCCTAATACTCATATGTACTATACGTGTACATATGAATATCATTAAAATAAATTTGTAATTTAAATTTGTAAGAAAATTACAACAAAAATTTTGTGTCTTTTCAGTTACATTTTAGTTATAACATAAATTTCTTACAGGTCAGAATTTTTTTCTTAAGATCTAAACTCTTTAAACGTGATGTCTTAAATAGAGGTGTGTATTTCTGTAGACGCTGCTCACGCCGTGCTAAGGATCCCAAAATTGCCTACCTCTTAATTTAGGAATATGTTTTGAAATCAGAGCAGCTGAACTGTAGATAGGGAGGTAGCTACTCTGAAACTCATTTAGGTTGAAAATGTTTACTCTCTAGTTATATATAGAGAAATAGAATTTGAAATTATAAATTCATTTAGAACAGAAGTTCTTATAGTAAAATGCTTGCCTCAACTTTAGCAGATATATAAATACCTGAAATTATGTGAAAACTTGAGTTGTGTGCTAACTGTATCCTCATGAAAGAAAACTCTAATAATGTTTATTAAAGGAATCTATGAATAAAGGTTTCAACAGCATGGATTTAAAGGTGGTAAATAATGGAGCGCTCTCTTGGCGCATTATCCAGTCTATCTGGTAACAATACCAGATTCCTCAGAATGCAGTCCACTTAACATGCATTTAGGTAACTGAAGCCAAATGCTTATGGCAAACCGTACAGTGGAATTGAGCCCAGCTTCAAGGAACATGGCAACCACAGATGCAGTGAGTACAACATCCTCTTCCTCTCCACCCTAAGAACAAAGGAACAGCGGTCATCCTGGATGAAGGGTACCAAGACAAGGCTGTTCTTCTGAAAGGAAGGTAAGTAGGGAGGAAATAGAGGAAAGAAGACTCTTGTTCTTCAAAACCCTTGAACACGAGTTGTTCTTACTTTTTAAATTTTTTTGTGATGCTAGAGACAGAATCCAGGTATTCACAAAATCTAGTCAAGTATTCTACCTTTGAGGTACACCTGGCCCCAAACATTTGCTATTTGAAAATTCCATAATTAGTAGCAATATTACTTGAGCAAGAATCCACTAAAGTTCAATGTAATCACAAGGCATACAACTTTTAAATATATTTAATTATATATTAGTATTTGTGTGGTTGATATTGTGTATGTATTCCAAGTAATTGCTACAAGTTTACCTGTCTTTGATATGAATGTGAAAAAAGCAAAGAATTTTTTTTAAAAAATTGAAACAAAATGCTTAATAAACCTCCTCAAAAAAAAAAATCTCTGCAAAGTTGCTCTGGGAAGTTGCAGTAGTCAGTTTAGAAAGAGTCTTACAATACAAGAGCAGAAAAGTGTAGACATAATGTGGTTTGAAAATTGTACACAAATATGCCTTGGGAACTTGGAGTATTACACAAGTCAGGACTCATACAGAGAATGTGATTTAAAAATTCAACAGTCAGTGACAATTGCAGCGATCCTGATACAAATAACACCGGGGTGGCATTTGGGACCCAGCGATGTAGTACAACACTCTCATGTCAGCTGTTTAAGAAAACATGATTCTTTCTTTGGAAAAGGAACATTTCTTTTTTATTATTTTTACAAAGAGATTTGTTTTAAGCCTACCATCTTGTTTTCTACAAGTGATTAAAGTAAAATTTATTTCAGACAAGTAATCTGTGTCTATTTTATCCATAAACATGGTTTTCTGTTAAATCCACCTAAAATTTCAAGATTAAAGTGCATGATAGGGCTGGCCAGATAGCCAGATAGCTCAGTGGACTAAAGCACCTGCTTAGGGAGAGCGCAGTGGCTGGGTTTGATCCCTCGTGTGCCATGCCAGCCCTGCCCCCAGGGAGTGCTGAGGCAGCGATTGAGATTGGGCATGGTGGTGTGCGGCCGTAATCCCAGCTCCTGGGAGGCTGAAAACAGGAGGATCATTACAAGTCCAATCTTGTATTGATACCCTGAAGATCTGAACAACAACGAAAAAGGTATGGTAGGTATTTTTGGAAAAATAAAAGTAATACCATTAATGAATGGTTAAACATGGTGGTACATTCTCATTATGGAATTCTACTGAGCCATAAAAAGTGTCAAGTATTGTTGCACCGATAAATTTGATAGATCTCTAGAAAATACTCCTACCAAATACTTCAAATCTTGCTTCTCTGAACACTATAAAGTATCAGGTAATCTGCCTGAGACTTTTTTTGTCATCAATGACTAGAAATTAATTTACATTCTTCATGTTCTCAAGACCTTCTTCTTTAGTATAGCATTGTCTGGTTCCAAATTTACAGATGTACTCCCTCTAGGTTTTATTTTTTCATTTTATTCTCCACTTTACTTACTTCAAAGGACTGCCTGTGTGCAAGGGTTAGAGACCAAGTAAGAGAGACAAAAGACTTATGAGCAGTTATAGCCAGGTTATGATTAAATATGCATGCAGCATGCATGCTCCTGTTGACCAGGACACATACTGCAGGCTCATGACTACAGCAGACTCAGCAAGCACAAGATTCACAAGAAAAAATAATGATCATGCTCCAGCTGTGGATGGCAAGAGTGAAGGGAAGATAGGGGGACATGGAGGAATAAAAAAAGGCCCCATTCTGTTGGTTTCTCACCTCCCAAGCATTGTGGGAAATGGCATCATCACTTTCAAAGCAGCCATTGGCTTTCTGTTTGCTTGAAAACCAAATTAAGGTCTGTTCTTGAACCGTTTTGTCAATGAATACATACTCCTTCATCCTCTCAAATGTCTTGTAAGTAAGGGCGCTGAACCTGCAGTGCAGGTCATCAAAGCATACGTTAGATAAAATAGCAATGATGATGTCAGCTACTTGCCAGTTTCATTCCTATTGTTACCTTTGTGTAAGGGACTTATTCAACTTCTCCAGTGATTTGTTTGGAAGGAACCTTGACTACTAATGGCTCTTTGGGGCCAATGAAAAATTTTGAATAGGTGTCTATAGAAATTAGAGTACCTAATGTCCAGACTCTTTAGATCTTGATGTCTTGTTCTGTGGTTCCTAAGTTACACATATAGAGAGAGTGAGCTATTGTGATCAGATACTTTGGGGTCTTCTAGTTTAATTTTCCTGAATCAGTGGAGTTCTGTGAGGGGCACAGGGTGCAATGTACCTTTGCTATGAAGGTAACCAGCTATGGCTGGAGGGAACTGCCAGGAGATGATCAGATAGCTAAGCAACTGCACAGGTGCACTCGGGGTAGACCTGAAGAACTAGACTAGCCACTCACACCTTCTGGTTTTATCTGTTTCTTCCCTGGAAACTCACTTTGAAGCTAGAAAACCTACACTGAATGGAACTCCCGCATCTTTTTGTAAGCCCTCCTCATATGGTTTCTGTACTATTGAAAATAAAATTATAGGGGCTGGGGAGATGGCTCAGTGGAATAAGCACTTCCCTGGCAAGTGCAAGGGTCTGAGTTCAATCCCCGGTTCTGAAAAAAAAAAAAAAGAAAAAGAAAATTATATTCTCTCACCATATGTTTCCTTCTTGATCCCTTTGCCAAAACACACTATACGAGCCATCAAAATTTTTGAAAGACAGTTGCTTTTGATAACCTAAAATACAACACAGCAAAAATTTACTTTTCAATTACTTTAGAAGTTACTTGTACAAAGACAGACAGAAAGAAAGAGAAAGAAAGAAGGAAAGAAAGAAAAGATACAAAAAGTAACAGTGTCAGATAAACTCTGAATTTCATTGTTAGACAAATTATCTACCTAGAACATTTCTAGGACAACAATTTTCAATTATAATCTCTGAAACATATTGATACAAGTTCTCTACATCTAATGGAGAAAAAAAATAACTTCTACTTTATAAGATATTTTTGAGAAATAACATACAGGTATGCCTAGCTGACAAACTGGTTTATCATTGGTACTTATTAATTAATACTTTTAAGGTATTTTTACTTGATGCAGTTTTAATGTTGTGAAAAGAAGAACTCTAGTCACTTACTCCTGGGCTTTTCTTTGATATCAGATTTTACAGTTTATGTGCCTTCTTCCTACAGTTAAGTCAGGTAATTTCATTGCAACAGAACACAAATCAGTGAATAGGCTTGAAAGTCAATAAATGACATTTATAACAACTATCAACAATAAGAACAACCAAGGTACTGTGCCAAAATATGAGGCTTTAAGAAAGCCACTGAGTTCATAATTTAAAATGCCACAGTTCTGAATTATGAAGGTAAATGTGCATACAAATGTTGACATAAAAATAAAACAGCTCAGCCTCAATAGCACATAAACTCAGGCTCAGCTTTGCTTGTAATACCGCACAGTGGCAGCTTCATGATGTCGTAATAATATTAAATGCGCATTTCAGCTGTCATGAGCAGAAACTGCTTAAATCACCTCACCATTAGATAAGAGAAAGAGTGCCTGAGATTTAACTTCCTCCGTCAATTGCTTTGTAGCTCTCAGGTAGTCAAGGATGTAGGTATTGGCAGCTAGAAGGGCAATGTTCTGCTCTCCCCAGCCGTAGGGCATCTGGAGAAGATGCTCCAGATTCCGAGCTGCAACACCAAGGATATCTCCTAAAGTGGGAAAAGCAGAGAGGCATACCATTACAAGTGTCATCTCTTTATTAATAACTGTGTGCTAAAGAGGCACGGTGTAAATAAGAAACATTTTGACATGAGCGAGAAAGGTGGAATTTGTAATAGCTAAATCCTGGAAAAACCAAAAATGTCCATTAACTATGGAGTGGATAAAAAAGATGTGGTATTTGCATACAATGGAGTATACTCAGCTAAAAAGAAAGATAAACTCGAGGCTTTTATACACGATGCAACTTGAGGCTACACTCATAAGTGATGTAAATCAAACTTACATGTGTAAGCATCATATTGTCTCCCTAGTATAAGGAAGGGAAAGTGTAAATAGGATACAAAACGTACAATAGAAAGGGAAAGAAGCTGCTCAAAAGGGAAGAACTGGAATGGGGGAAAGGAGAAAAGGAAGAAAAGATATATTAGCTAAGATAATTTTTTTTAGTTAATTTAAAGGAACAGCTAGTGCTTATATTGCTCAATCAATTTTGCATGCCTATATCTGGTAATCTGAGCAATTATTTTCAAGATAACAATATACAATATAATAACTATTGTTAATTTTTTATCATCTTGTTTTGAAATTCTCTATTGCTTTTAGAGTTCCTTTCTTTTTAAAATAAAAATAAAGCATTTTAGAATCATATTTGACAGTCAAGTCCAACAAAGTTGTGTGATATTAAAAATTGTTATGTTTTTTATTTTATTTTGAAAAGTAAAAGCAAAAACAAAAACAAATAGCAGAAAAAAAAACAGAAATAGGACAACATACAGCAATAAACATTACAGAATTTCAAAACAAGGATAGCTAAATAATAATGGTTGTTACATTATCTATTTTTATTATCAGATCTGTTGCTCAGATCAACAGAAATAGCTATGCAAGATTGGACAAATAATTGATTAGTAGCACTTGCTTTCAAGAAACCTTAATTTTTTCTATTTTTTGTCTTCTTTACTTTTTTAAAGTTTATTTTATAGAGAACATGATAACAATTGATTAGACATTAGAATCAGTACATATTTAGATCAAGATGAGAGGTATTCAACCATGGTTTTTGTATTACACACTGCTGTCCTCAATGTAGCTGCTTAGATCACAGATATCAGCATGCAGAGTTAGTCAAGGTGAAAATTCTAAACATTAACTGCTATTTTAATAAAAATGATGGAAATTATTAGCACAATTATCTCAGTCAAACTACATATACACTTACATGAATTTTCCCCTTCCTTTTTTCCTACCTTTTCTCTCATCTTCATTATTTAATCCTTAAATTCAGTTGCTTTCCATTTTATTATATCTATTATACCTTTCAGGTTTTATCTATTCTTTCTGGCTCGTAGACTAGGGAGACAATACAATATTTGCACTTGTGGGTCTGATTTATTTCACTTATGAGTATAGCCTCTCAGTGCATCCACTTACCTATAAAGACCTCAAGATGGCCTTTCTTTATAGCTGAGTAATACTCCAGTGTATAAAAACACCACAGCCTTTTCATCCCCTGCAAGTGATGGGCATTTGGGTTGTTTCCAAGATTTGGCTATGACAAATTGTGCTGCTCTAAACATGGGTGCACATATATCACTACAGTATGATGTTTTCAGGTCTTTTGGGAAAATACCCAGGAGGGGAATAGCTGGGTTGAATGGGATTTCCAGTCCTACTTTTTTGAAGAGTCTTTATATTGCTCTCCATAATGGTTGTGCCGGTCTACATTCCCACCTACGGTGCAAAATGTTTTTGTCCACAGCCTCCCCAGCATTTGTTATTAGTTGATTTATTTATGAGAAAAATTGTTAATATTTTAGTGTGAAAAAAAAGGTTTTAAAAAGTATTGTAAAGGGACACAGCCGTGAGGGATAAATTAAACGGGTTTCTGGAATGAAAACATCTTTTTCTGAAAATTTTATTACCAGACAAAACAGAGAAGGATTTTTTTTGGTGGGGTGGCTGGCTCAGGTCGCGTAAGGCATCTGGAGCTAGGGATCCAACCAAGGTTCCCTGCTCCGGACTGTGTTTGTCTTCGCAGGCACTTAAACAACTGAGCTAACCTACAAGCCCCTAAAATTTGAGAAGGAGGTCTTTCTTTCTTTCTTTCTTTCTTTCTTTCTTTCTTTCTTTCTTTCTTTCTTTCTTTCTTTCTTTCTTTTTTTTTTTTTTTTTTTTTTTCTACTTCAAGGTGCCTTACGGCAGGTCTGGTGCAGCTTCTAGAGCTGGGAATCGAACCGCGTTCCTATGTGATTTAAACAACTGAGCTATCCGGGACACCACCCAGGCAACACCGGAAGCTAGGGAAAAAGCATTTATTTGCTTGCTGTCTTGCTTGTTTGGTTTCCCAGAAGCTGGTGCCATAAAATATAAACTGCAATCCATCCCTCTTCAAAAGGTATTCATGACACAATGTGTTATTGAAAAGGTGTTAATCATAAGAAGTTTGCTTCTTAGAAAATATCTCTCTTTTCCCCTTAGAGGAAAATTCCAATATCTTTAACATGCATAGCTTATTTGAATTCTTGAAAAATGAATGTAGTATTTCAGATTAAGGATTATAATACAAGCTTCTGTGTTCTGAATACCAGCTACAGGACTAGTGTTTCACAGATTTGGAGATGGATCCTTCAGATCCTACATGAAAACATTGAACCTGGCCTGAACTGTAATTTCCTCTAGTTGATATCTAAAGAAAATCTCTATTATTTTTTAAATTTATTTTTTTTTTATTTTTATGTATTTGGTACAGGTTCTTACTACGCAGCTCAGACTTGTAGTGATCCTCCTGTTTTCGACCTCCCCAGATGCCTGGTCACCGTGGCAGGCTCAATGTGCCAGAGGACAGGGCCAGCGTGGCATGGGGTGCCAGGGATAGAACTGTTGTTCCTTACTTGCCTAAGCAGACATTTAGTCCATTGAGCTATCTCGCTGGCCCTCTTTGTTTTTATCTTTGGATTTTTCTTTTGCAATCACCTCAACCAAGGCTTTTATGTCAGTATGGAACAAAATTTAATCAATTTACCTATGACAATTAAAAAGGCTCTGGCAGATCCTTCTACTACATCATTTGGCAAGTCCAACTTGATTTCTTTGGAGACTTTGGTACCTGAAAAGAAAAATAGCATTAAAATATAGTGAATTTATCTTTTTAGAGTTTAAATAATATTCTATTGTGTAATGGTCTTTACCTCACCAACAGCTGACATCAATTTCACTGGAGGAAAACTGAAATTTTTCACTCTAAAATCAGGAACAAGGATGTCCACTATCAAAACTCCTATTCAATATAGTTCTAGAAACCCTCACCAGAGCAATTAGACAAGAGAGAGAAATAAAAAGAATAAGAATAGGGAAGGAAGAAATTAAATTATCATTATTTGCAGATGATAGAATATACTATATGTAAGATTAAAAAAAAAAAGAAAAACTCCAGCAAGAGACTTCTAGAATTAGTAGATTCAGTAGCATAGCAGGATACAAAGTAAATACTGAAAAATCATTAGCATTCCTGTACACAAACAACAAACTCACTGAGAAATTAGAGAAAAAACACCCTTCATAATAGCATCCAAAAAAGAGAGAAATACTTATGAGTTAATCTAAAAAAGGAAGTAAAAGAGCTATACATTGAAACCTGCAGTACTCTGAATAAAGAGATCAAAAAAGCATTGTTCATGAATAGGAAGAACCAACATTGTGAAAATGACCATACTCCTAAAACTGTTATATGGATTTAATGCAATATCTTTTTTTTAAAACCTATCAGCATACTTCACAGATTTAGAGAAACCATTCCTAAAATTCATTTGGAACCAGAAAAAACATAGAATAGTAAAGGCAAGTGTGGCAAACAAATGTAAGGCAGGAGGCATCACAATAACTGATTTCGAATTATAGTACAAAGCTAATCTGGCTATGGATTATTTAATCCTAAAAGCGCCAGAGCAAAGATTATATTACATAATATTGCAACCTACCCCTGATTTCTCATTGAGCCGCACAGTGTGGTGCTTCTTTCATAAGTGGAACAAGGAATATACAAGAGGAGAACAGTAGATTGAGGCTGAAAAATGCCAAAGGTTTTAAGCATATTTCTTAGGCATATTTTTTATCAGCTAAAATTTTACAGTGAAGATCAGACATGAGACAAGTAATCCACAAAGAGGTTTTAAAATGAATGAAAAGGCAAATGGACTAATGTATAGGGAGAGGATATAAAGTGAGCTGGTTGATAAAATTTATTTGGGACTAATCTTCTTACCTTTTGTACAAATAAGAAAACTCTGGGTCATTTCTTTTTCAATGCCTTCAGGCTGTCAAAAAGTAAGCAAAGAAAACACACACTAAATAATGAACCAAAGAATCTGGGTCATCTTTCCATGTGAAGCCATCAATCAATCATCACTCCCCTTAAGGATGGTGGACCAGGTTTGTCATTGTCTCCTCTGTTCATATCTAGAATTCACTACACAACATTAGCACCTCAGGTTGTAAATGAGTGATGCTCTCAGTGTCTCTGCACCTGTCTAGTGTCTTCAGAAGACTAAGGAAAGTGTCCTGTAGAACAGGGACTTGCCAACAGGTGAGGTGAGGATGCTCCCTGCCAAGTACTGAGTCATGCTGAGGATGAAGGAAAGGAAAAAGGAGTAGATACCAGGAAGCACCAAGTGTCCCCAGTGGAAAAATTTCATCAAATCTCTCAGTTTTACTCTCTAGTATGATGCATTAGAGAAAGGGTAAGATTAATGCTGCTTCAATTCCATTTAAAAGGGTACATTGTATGTCAAAATAAAGTTGAGAAATTAATATAGTTACTTCAACAATGTGCTTACAAACTTCATGTCTTAGATGCTGCCTGTTTCCCATCAGGAAAACCAGGATAGTCTTGCACGTACCTCGACCAGTATGCTTTTGACCACAACGTCCTTCCAGTTCAAATTGAGCTGCTCTGTTGCTGAATTTAGGCAGGCACTGTTCCCCTTGGACTTGGCAACCACAGTGACATTGATTTCACCTGGAAAATATTCCCAACTGGAAGTTAAAGTGTCTGTTGCCTTTGTGTGATGGGAAATGATTTCCAAAGTCTGTGGATCTTACTTTGAGTTGGAGGAACCAAATTCTGTGCAAATAGTACTGTTTTAGACCAAATTATTTGTTTTATCTCCTGCTGGAGATATTTTAAGATATTTTGTTTTATTCATTTTAAGATTCTGCTTATTAAGAAATCAACTTATTTCTATTATTTATCTTTTTATCATTATGTTTTTTTGGTTAAAACTTAAATTTTAACAATATTACATTTTACAAAGCCATCTGAGCCAACTGACTAATATTGTTTAGAAAGATAACATACGATTTTGTAAGCACATAACATTAGATAACTAGGACTCCTAACATTTCCCAAGATCTAACAAAAACAAATAGTACAATATGATATCACAAAAAAGGACTGGATTGAAATTATGGACTAAAAAGAAATCCATTGTGCTTTTTTAACTTCCTGTAATAGCACATTATGTAAGTAAAAACTAACCTTCCTTATTTATAAAAAATAGAGGATTATAAAAAGTACTTATAAAGCTTAATATTACCTATGTGCCTATATATGTAACCAGATATACTGTTGGTTTCATCAGCCAGTGTTCATTCTTTTGTTCTGCAAATTCTACCCTTAGGATTGAATCCTCCAAATACAAAAAGAAAGAGAAAGTTTTACGGTATCCTGGCTGGGAAGACAGCTCAGTGGCCTAAGCATCTGCTTGGAAAGTGCAGGGACCTGGGTTCGATCCTTGGTACCACATGCCATGCTGGCCCCAGAACCTCTAGCAGGCTGTGCTGGCCAGTGAAACTAGGCATGATGGTGCATGCCTGTAATCCCAGCGCTGGTGAGGCTGAGGCAGGAGGATCGCTAGAAGCCTGAGCTGCATAGTGAGACCCTGTACCAAATAAATAAATAAAAGATTAAAAAATTTTTTAAAAAGTTTACAGTATTCTGTCTTAATATCCAGAATGACAGTTTTGAAGATATTCATAAGAAAAAAGGAATTTTAAATCTAATAGGAAAAAAGTTGGAGGCAGATCTAAATTACAAGTGAATTTAAAAATATCATATCATTGTTGCTAAAATATTACCTTGTACATGGGATATAAAATAAATTTTAATAATTTAATTTTCAAAATTACTCATACTGAGCACATCAGGGTTAGCATTCCTTGTTTAACTTTTTCCTTTCACTATACCTTTAGCAAGATTCTTTTCTTCTGTTCTATTTTCACTTTACAGACAGTCTCTTTATGTAGCCCAGACTGGTCTCAAAATTTGCAACACACGTACTTCCCTTTCCCAGTACCTGCGACTGCAGATGTGTCCCACCACACATGAACCAAATCTGTTTTTCTAGAGTACAGATACTATGCACACAGAAGCAATGTTCTTGTAAGGCCTTGATCAAAGTGTTGTGCTTTTTGAGTTCCTCGACGTAGTGAGGAAATTTCTGTATTCCAGAAAGTCCCATAATTGATCCCTGTACTTGAGAAGCATCTTTTGCATCAGCAGCATTTTTGTACAAATCATGGGTGAAGAAATAAGTGTGCGAAAATTAAGGCAGCGTGAAGGAAAATACAGCTTTCATTTCAGACGATATGATGTGTGCGCTGACAGGGTGTGGAAACTGGCACTGATGTTGTATTTTAGTCATGTTATGCTTTTCTTTTCAAATGCCTGATGACTCTGCTCTCTACCACACTAGCAACCAGAAATTAGATTATAAGAAGTAAGACTTTTAAATAGAGAAAATTCAAAAAGAACTAAAAATGTAAGGAATAAATTTGTTTGTTCAGTGAATTTAAGGAAAAGAGAAGGTTAAGAGCCCTTACCCAGAGTTTGAGGCAGGAGAGTCCAGACGTAGGTTTGCTTCTCTCCAGCCTGGATAATCACACTGTCATTGCTCTCCGGAGAGTTAATATTGGCTTCGTAATTGTGAGATGTTTCTAATTGAACAGATATCTATAAAAAGAGTCATGGTTAGGAGGGCAGCACTGTAAATACATTTGTATCCCTATTCCCTCCCATCTTCAGGAAATTATGCCTCATCTATTTTGTTTTTTAAGCTTGAGAAATTAACTAGAAATTTCATTTCTCCTTCTAGGTAGTGTGCTGGAAGAGGCCAATGCATCACACTACAGCTATACACATGTAGTCCTGCGTAGCAGAACAGCGCAGAACAGCGGAAGCTCGGAAGTGGTCCACAAGTGCATCAGCAGATGAATGGATGAAGAAGATGCAGTATGTAGATGCAGTGGTGGCCTACTCTGCCATAATAAAGGGTGATCTTGAATTGTTGTAGGAAAATAAATCTAGCTTGAGACCATAATGTTAAGAAAAAGAAAATAGATACACAATCTGAAGTACTGTAGTTTCTCTTATATGTGAAATATAAAATATAAATAGAGAAATAAAAATAGGTGATAGAGAGTAGGAGACAGATTTTTTTCAACAAGAAAGAGGATCAAAGAATGGAGAAAGGGGAGAAGGTAGAGAAGAGGACAAAACTGAATTATAATTTGTGTACTTTCCCTCATCTCCATTATTTATTTCTTATGTTTTCTTTCTTTCTTTCTGTTCTACTATATCTATTGTATCTTTTAGATTTTATTTATTCTTTGAGGTTCTTACACTAGGGAGACAATATGATGCCCACACATGTGGGTCTGATGTATTTCACTTAAATGCCTCAAGTTTATCTTTATAGCTGACTAATACTCCATCGCATAAAAAACCCATATGTTTTCCATCCATTCCTCAGGTGATGGGCATTTGGGTCATTTCCAAGCTTTAGCTATGACAGAAGGGGAAAATCACGCAAGTATACATACAGGATAGCTGAGAAGAGTGTGCAACTCACTTCTGTTGTTTTTCTTTGCAAGTAGCAGCTAATACTTAAAACTCTTACTTTGAATAACTCTCTATGCTAGTGTCTGTAATCTGAGCAACTACATTGAAGACTGCAATGTGCAATAAAACAACCACAGTTGAAGAGCTTTCATCTTGTTCTTTTAAATGTGTACCATTTCTAATGTCTTATCATTTATGTTTATATCTTCTTTTAAATAAATTACAAAATAGAAAGTAAAAATGACAAGAAAAAATTTAGGTTTATTGAAAAGAAGAGTTAATGTTTAATCACTTGATCAATCTGGTATACCTATATCTGATAATCTGAACAACAAATTTAATGATAACAATATGTAATATAATAACCATTGTTCATTTTTTTATTCTTGCTTTGAAATTCTGTACCATTTGTACTGCTGTATGTTGTTTTGCATTTGTCTTTGTTCTTATTTTTTGTTTTTGATTTTTCCTCTTTAAAATAAAAACAAACAAACCAAAAGATTTGTTATGCACATGTACCAGGTCTGCGCAAATAACATATGCATTATCTAATGCAAGAATGTACTAACAAAAAATAAGAACTGAAGAAAAAGATACCTAATTACTCTGTGCATAAGACGCTAAACATGGGAGAATGTGCCTCATTATGAAAGGTCATTCTCAAAGCAATACTCAAACGAATGTTGCGATTGATTGATTGATTGATTGATTGATTGATTGGCAGAACCGGGGATTGAACGCAGGCCCTTGCTCTCGCCAGGGAAGCGCTTATTCCACTGAGCCATCTTCCCGGCTCCAGTGTTTCGAATTAATGCAACCACTTTTGTTTGAAGAATGCGGAAATGAGGCAATCTCCTTATAGTATCATTTTAAGAATAAAGCAAATAGTCACGGAAGACATTAAGAAATCTTTTATCTTTGTTAGACTTCTGTCTCCCTTTGTCTCCAGATCAAAGGGAGAAACGTACCTCTGCACACGTGTTCAGGTAGCTGAAGACACTGACAATCAAATCACATCGTTCATTTCGAACAACTGAGAAGGGGGAAGCGATTTCCACAAAGAAAGCCTGGGAAACTTGTAGAGAGACTGTGGGAGAGATGCCAAAGCCAGCCTCGCCGCTCACGCAGAAGGCGCTGGCCTTCCACTCGGTCATCGTGTCAGGAGTGATGAATGAAAGATTCGCTGACCCCAAGGAACTGCAAGAAGAGATGGTTGATAAAACGCATTCTTTACCTAAGAGCTGGAATGTAGTGCAGAGCAGAACAATCGATTAGCTGAGGTTTAAAAATGAGTTACAGGGTTTGGACAGGGTGTTAGATAAAAATCTGGAGAGCTGAATTTCTATAAAATTTAACCTGACATAGGTCACATTTCATTTATTTATTTATTTGGTACAAGGTCTCACTACTCAGCTCAGACTCATAGTGTTCTTCCTGTCTCAGCCGCCACAGTGCTGGGATTACAGGGTTGCGCTAGGCCGCTCTGCTTCCGTGGCAGGTTCGGGTGGGGCAGGCACTACATGTGGCATGAGGAGATCAGACCCCAGCTTCTTGTGCTTTCCAGGCAGGCACTTAGACCGCTGAGCTATTTTTCCAGCCCAAAAAGTCACATTTCTTTAAACACTATTTTTCTTTTAAAATCTGGGACAGCTGACTGGACAGTGTGAGATCTGGCAACAAAATTCTGGTTTAAAAAAGATTAGGAAAAAGAACAGAGAAAAAAATCAAATAGGATCAGTATGTTGAAACAGTGTTACTTTATGTTTTACAAATATTCTCAGGAATAGAAGTTCATAAAAAGATAGGAATAAAGACCTTTATGGAAGGAAGCTGCTGAATAACTCACTCAACACTGAAGAGGTCCCATATCCATGTCTCAGGGAAGTTTGTTCTGACAGTTTCTATGATAGCCTGTTGTACATGGTTGGTGTTCTCTCTCAACTTAAAATCTAAAAGGAAAAGATGCTTTATGTAGGGGGAATGACAATCTGTGCCTTAATGATGAATGCCTATAAGTTAAGTGTTGTGAAACGCATGACTGGCCTGCGTTAGCGTGAATGCAAAATGGGTATCGGCAAGTCTCAGCCTACAAGTCAGCAACAAAAGCCAAACCAAAATGACAAATAAGCAGCTTGTGCTTTCTCTCCATTGTCAGCTTACTTGTTGGAGTTTCTCATCCACAACTACTGACATCTGTAAGTCGTGTTAGCTGGCATTGCTTCTGCTAATGTTTTTAGTGAATGAGCCCTTGGAATTTCCAAGAACATTTTGTTCCACATGCATGGTCTTTAGGCTACACTAGACACCCCGGGTCCTTTTCTGACCAGTCACTATGCCCGAGTTTTATAACACCACATCCTTCTAGAGTTCTTCTCCCTTTTGAAGGATATAAACTCTTCGTGCTTGGTGTAAGAGCTATTTTAAATCCTCCTCTTACCACACCGTCACTCACTGAAACCCTTACCAGCTTCAGTTACGATAGTTGTCCTGGTGCCTCCTCAGCCCATCTTCCACCTGGGCCTCTTCCTTCAATCTCACACTTCCCTGTGCATCTCTGCACTTAGTTCTTGTGGCTACTTTACAGAGACTGCAAGTGCAGCTGCTCCAAGAGTAAGCTCACTCTGTGCTCCCCCTGCTTGTCCTAGCATCTCTCTACTCCAGCAAGGGTATCAAAACCTAACCACTTCTCTAAGTCAGAACCTCAAGCATTGTCACACCCCTTTCTGTCCTATGCATCCCATAACTCATGAAGCTACAAATGTCCTCTTTTGCAACTTGCACACAGCTCAAAGATCTATCCACATTTCTCTATATCTACTGCCTTTTTATAGTTGTCCATGGCATCTCTGTGCTTAACTGAATTCCTGACATCTGAGTCATTTTGTAATTCTTAAGGAGCCTAAATCCCAAACCCTTTTCACAGAACTGTTAAAGATACTGTTTAAAAATGTGTACTATATGTTCTGATTATGGATTGTCAGTAGCATATATTAGAATAATATAAATCCAAACTGCATTTAATTTTTGTGTGTGTTTGTGGTTCTGGAGGTTGAACACAGGACCTTGCACTTCTCAGGCATGCACTTACACCACTGAGCTATCTCCCCAGCCCTCCCAACTCTTTAAAATTCATGTAAGGTTGTCTTAACTGTGTTCATGGCTCTTGCTTTAGTTGTCTTTATTCTATTTGAACTACATCTCCTCTTGTCATTCAGAAGGGCTTGTGGTTTCTTACCTCATCTTTCATAGCTCTTCCTTCTTTAACTGGAATGCTTTACCCTTTTATGATTAGTTTTTGGTCTCAGTTCAAGTATTACTTCCTCCAGGAATAAAAAATAGCCCCTAAAATTGAGTCTCTTTTATTTCCTAGGTACATTTTAAAAATTTAACTCATGTCTGGGTCACTTTCCTCCTCACTGAGACAAAATGCTGGACACCCACAACTTCACAACTTAAAGGAGGGGAGGTTTATTTTGCCCCACTCTTGCAGTCCACAGCTGGCTGGCTCCAAGGCTGGAAGGCATGGTGGAAGGGCCTGGGTGGTGCTGAGCTGCTCATGTGGTGGCAGCCAGGAGGCAGGGAGTGAAGGGAGGAGGAAAGGGGGAGGTACAGCCCACCAGGGCAGCCTCACAGTGGCCTGTCTCTTCCAACAAAGCCCTTTTCTTCATAGCATTTTTAGTTATAGCAACACAGTGGTTTAATCACCCTTCAAAATCCCCAACTCTGAGCACTAAGGGCTATGGGAGTTGTCATCATATAAGCCTAACAATGCTCTACTCCTCTGTTTGGGAAATTATCTTGTCAATGTATTTGCATCACGCATCTCAGTTCTGGTCTCAATAAATATTTGTTGGGTGAATGAATAACTAAATGACTGAAGAAAGAAGGAAATACATTGAAGGATTTTGGGTTTCAGTAAATTTTAAACAGATACATAAGAATGTTTAAATGTGTCTGGTAAAGCTCACTAAATATGGTGCCATCTAGTAGTGAAAGGAAGGAGCCTTAATCTCTTGACTAGGACTACACTATGGCTCAAGCGTTTGGACTTTGTGGGACCTCTCGGCTAGTCCCTGAATCCATCCTTATGGCCCTTATGTTTCTCAAGTGTAACTTGTGACACTCATCTCCAGGATGAAGCCACACTGACCGCAGGACTAGTCTCAGTGAGAGGGGCAGAGAAACTGAAGCGATGTACCTGAGTACTCCCACAGGCATTGAGAATACAGCTGTCACTTGGGGTCAGTTCTGGGGATCAGGCTCCAGCTGGCATCCCTGACTACACTTCTATATGCAAAGTCTGCTTGCCTACATGATTGTTCTAGATGTATGGCCAATTTTGAAACTTCAGTCCTTCTGCTTGAAAGTGGACAAGTATTGGGACTCATTTACTGACAGTAGCTGTCCTAATATCAGGGTGCCAACATGCTCTTTGCCTTTGACTCTGGATTTTAGTCTGTACCTAACAAAATAAGAGACTCACACAGAAATGCATTCTACCCTATCACAGTCACAATAAGCCCCCTTCTATATATCCCCACACATTCCATGCCGCTACATATGTACTTTTGACATATATATTTTTTCAGTACTGGGGATTGAACTTAGGTACTTTCACTGATAATCTTCCTGTAATAGCTGAAGCTAATTATTTTGTGTAGTCAAAACTATTTCCAGTCAATCTTATTCTGTTTTTTGACCTGTAAGATACTCCTTCTGAACCAAAAACATACCAAGATTTCCATTTTGTGTGGTTTCATACAAATAAACCCAGTTGTAAGAGCCCTTGGCCCCAAACTCTTGATTACCCACTTGTCACTGCAGATGAACCGTATGGCATGTATCTTTCTCTTCCTAGATCCGCTGGCCTGAGGTATGGATGACTTCCGTCTATCATACATAGTTCTGGTTTTCGGTAACGGAGGTTGGTAAAAACTTTTAAACCCACATTCTTTCAAAGAAACAAAAGAAAAGTCATGCATTCAAGAACTGTCAAAGCCCTATCATTTTTAAAATACTAAAACAGCATAAATCTACATGTTTTCTATGCTAACAGGGCTCTAGAGTCATAGAAACCCAGTCACTTCTCTTTGATTTAAAGCCTTAAGTGAAGAAAAAAAATGACAAGTATTTTACTAAGCATTTTGTAAAATTCTGCATTAAATTTCAAGGGAAATTCCCTATGAAATTGGCACTGTTTATCAACCTCTTCATTGACTGTTCCTGTGTAAGGATTATTGTAATAACTTGTACATTGTCTCAATGATTCTAACCTGAGATTTCAGAATTTTAACTACACAATTTATTTTCAATACAAAAGAGAAAATTAAAAAAAAAGTACTTCCTTTTTGTAAGACAAATTTGAGTACTGCTCTATTAGCAAATTTCAGAAATCAAATCTCAAAATATCAGAAGGAAACTACACATTAATGAAAATAGATATGCATTATGAATACTAAAAATAAAAATTGATGTATAATGTTTTTAAATATCTTTAGTGATCTTACCCTGAGAATCTCATAGGTGTCCTCATCGTCAAAGAAGGGCAGAGGAATGTAATACAAACCATTGTAAAACATGGCTTTCCGGGGAATACAAGGCTCTACCCTGTCATCATCGAGGTTGAGACCATTGTAGAAATAACTATAAGGCTTTCTGTCTGGAAGCATGTTATACACCTAGGAGAGAAGGCACAGAGATGTACGCACTTTTTCAAAAAAACAACCAGTTACATAATTAGAACATTTTGTTTAATAATGGTTTATTCTTATTGTTTTTCTATAAGAGAATGGAAATCATAATGTACTTGAATAATTGTATTCAACTTCTTCAAAAGAGAAAACTAATTTTATTTGGAGTGGCTGTTGTAGCTTGCGTCTAGCTATCCCTTGAGGACCTCACGTGGTCCTAGGTGGGGCTCCTCAGAAGTGGCTGGATCTAGAGTACATGATGCTGGAATTAAGGGCACAGTGCTGGGACTGATTCATGGTGCACACTAGGGTTAAGGGTGCCCCCCAGTAAGGGTGGGTAGATTGGTAGGATACAAGAGACAGAAAGAAGGCTGCTACTGTTGCTTGTCGTTTGCTGCTTAGCTTCTTCCATCCTTAGTGCCTTGCTACCTTTGCCTTCTGCCTGCCATGAGCTGTTTCTCCTCCTCCTTCCCACTCTGCCTTGGCCAACTGTGAAGTGAGGCCTCTACAAACTGTGGGCTAAACAAAACTTTCCTACTTTAACTTTGAAAGTTAAAGCCCTAAGTGAAGATAACTCCTCAGTTATGCCTCAGCAATGAGAAAGATAACTTAGGCAATAGTCATTGCCATATGCATTAATTTTTTCAGGAATAATTCAGGATTTGGGAGAACATGTAAAACATAGATAATTTAGTTTTACTGATGAATCCAAAGACAATGAGTAGATAATTGATTGAAATTGTAATGCTAGAACCCCTAGGTCTGGAGGAAAATGTTAGCTCTCTGATTTCAAATCTTTTTACAGAACCTCCCAAAGAAAATATCAAATTGAAAAAGAACAACCAGTGATGTCCAGGATTTATTTCTTTAACATTACTAGATCACAGAGGCTAATTCTATGATCTTCACATTGTTAGTAAAGAAATGAACCCCAGATTTGACAGAGCTCCTAGGGGTAGTAAACATGAGGGGCACAAAACTGTAGATGGAAGGAAAGAGAGTGGCCAACATTTAATGTCCAAATATGAACCATGGTTCTGGAACTTAGCAGTTCCCAGGAAAGACAGCAGGGAAAGGGCTTGAATCATCTCGGAGGTGGCAGTCTTTGACTGTGGCCAAAAGAAAGAATCTGATCAGTAGAGGAAGGGTACCGGCCCTTGGAGACAAGACTCTTCACAGTGGGAAGGAAGTAATAGGGTACAACTAAGGACACTGCAGAAACAAAAGAGAAACAAAGCATGCCAATCTTGTCATTCTTATTTCCATGAGCAACATTTGGAATTAAGAAACTTATTTTTTTGCCAGAATAACATACTAAAGATGCTCTTCAACTATCAACTCTGTCCACACCAAGAAAATAACTCCACACAAAGAACACAGAAATGTAGATGAACTAGAAAAAAAAAACCAGAAAAAATCATGAGATGTGAATTATAAAGTATAAAGATCTCAACAAAAAAAGAGTTAAAAGGAAATTTTATTTTTATTGAATTTAATGCATAGCCCAGACTGCTTCAAGCTCCTGGTGGTCCTCCTGCCTCCACCTCTTGAGTGCTGGAATTACAGGTGTATGCCCCTCCCTGGCCCTGTCCCCCACCCCAGGCAAAAAGAATGTTTACAAAGCATAGAAAAGTTGGGTGTGGTGGTGCGTGTTTGTAATCCCAGTAATGAAAGGAGCTCCAAGAGGATAGGTTCTAGGCCACATTGCACTACATTGTTACGTCAAAGGCAGACTGGACTAAATTTTTTTCTTAAAAGCACAGAAGAAAAATAGAAAATGAGAGAAAAAATTAACATAGGTCATAGGTAGAGTTGCTAAATTGGAAATCGGTTTAAGAAGATCTAATGTGAATGGAGTTTTTCAGAAAAGAGAAAGGTGAGAAGCTTAATTTTAGAAACTGTAATTCAGGACAAGTTTTTGAAAATAAAGGAAGTGAGATTAATACATGGGTCTACTTGGCAGAACTTCTTCCAAATGATAAATTCAGAGAGATATTATACTAATAGAAATAGAAATACAAAGAAAGAGCCCTCATTGACTTCAGACAAAATAATAAAATGACTTATAAGAGAAAATAAATTAAATTGATGCCAATTTTTTTTTGAAGTAACAATAAATGAAAGGCGATAGCAGAATCTACACACTGATTTCCATAGGGATTGTACCAGTTTGTACTTCCACCAACAGTGAGGAAGGGTTCCTTTCTCTCCACAGCCTCTCTAGCATTTGTTATTGGCTACCTTCTTAAAGTTAGCCATTCCTTCTGAGGTGAAATGGAATCTCAATGTTGTTTTAATTTGCATTTCTTGAATGACCAATGACGTTGAACATTTTTTCAAATATTTACTTGCCATTTGTATTTTTTCCTCTGAGAAGTATGTATTCATCTTAGATGCCCATTTTTGGATTGAGTCTTTGAGTTGGGGGACCTGATATTTTTAATTCTTTATATGGTCTAGATAGAGGGACTTTGTCAGAGGACAGAGGACAGCTATAATTTTTTCCAAATTTGTCGGTTTTGTTTTTACTCTTTTAGAGATTTATTTTGAAGTACAGAAGCTTTAAAAAAAAAAAAGGAGATCCTAGTTGTTGATTCTTTGAAGTATTTACCTTGCAGTTTGATTTTTATTAATAAACTCTCTACCTACCCTTATGTCTTTAAGTTTTGTACCTACATTTTCCTCCAGAAGATGTAGTGTTTCTGTTTTAATATTTAAATCTTTGATCCATTTGGACTGCACCTTTGTGCATGGTGATAGGCATGGGTCTAGTTTTAACCTTCAGCATGTGGAAAGTCAGTTTGCTCAAGCACCATTTATTAAAGATGTTATCTTTCTTCCAGCGAGCTTTTTTGGCCCCTTTATAAAAGATAAGGTGGCTGAGTGTATTTGCAGCTGTTTCTGCATCTTCTAATCTGCTCCACTGATCCTCAGGTAAGTCAGTACCATGCTGATTTTATCACAGCACGTTTATAGTATAATTTTAGGTCAGGGATTGCAATACCTCCTGCCTTTCCTTTGTTTCTCAGGATTGTTTTTGATATTCTGGGTCTCTTCTAGTTCCAAATGAATCTGAGGAAAGTTTTCTCTAACTCTGTGAGATATACTGATGATATTTGAATGGAAATTGCATTGAATCTGTATAACAATTTTGGGGGTATGGCCATATTCACAAGTAGCTTAATATTTAATGCTTAAGGTAGAATGTTGAAAGGAAAACCATGAATTGGAGTTTTAAAATTATATCTTAAGTTAGTAAAAAATTGCTTTTGGAAAAGACACAAACATGAGTTAGATTGTCAGTTTTAAAGATTTCTTTATGCCCTTGTGTATTTTGTGTGTGTTCTTCAATAAAGAGGTATACTTTTCATATCAGAAAAAATAAATTACTGAATTAGACATACAAATATCAGAAAGGTCAAAATTTTGATACATATTTGTATAAAAAAGGGAAAATGTTGAATAATTTTTCTGACTTAAAATATTAGGTAATGGGACCGGGAAGACAGCTTAGTGGCACAAGTGACTGCCTAGAAAGTGAAGGTCCCAAGTTCAAGCTCCAGTACAACCAAAAAAAAAAAAAAAAAAAAAGGAAAAAGAAAAAGAAATACGGTTCTGAAATTGTGTACTTAAAATATTTTTTTGATGTGAAC